TCGGCGCTGGGAGGTGTGGGCGCGAATATCACCTTCTGCATTGCCACCTGCCAGCTGGCGGGGATGGAGCCGGGCCGGGCCCCAGCAACACCTACGGCGTGTCGGTGACTCAGCGGTGACATTTCTCCACTGAGTCAGCTCCAAATGAGCGTGGCGGGAGCGCTCCGGCCGCCCGGGCTGTGAAGCCCACGCAGAGGGAGGGCTGGTGGGCACGGCACAGCTGCGGGCTGTGAGCCCACACCAGGGAGGGCTGGTGGGCACGGCACGGCTCTGCTCCTGCCTGTGTGACTGCACCCGCTCCATGCCATGCTGGGGACGTGAGCACAAGGGTGACAGTGGCTGGAGGGAATTGCCTGCCATTCCCTGCCCTCACCTGCGTGAAGGACATCTCAAGCTCTGCTCGTTTTCCAGCCTGTGCTGCCTGCCTTTCCCTTTGATGTTCTCCCCATTCCTCTCCTGCCCCTCTGGTTTGTTCAGCCTGGGTCCTTGCTCTTGTCCAGTGTAGGGAAAGCAGTGTCCCTCCTCTGTCACTCACCTGGTGGTTGTGCCCATCTCCTGACATCCCCGTGTTTCTATCCCTGCCCCAGATGAGCGTTGGTCAGCGGGCAAAGATGACCATCTCCCCAGATTACGCCTACGGCTCCACTGGCCACCCGGGGATCATCCCACCAAACGCCACTCTAATTTTTGACGTGGAGCTCATGAAATTGGAATGACCCACCCCAGCACCCTGTCCTCGGGTAAGGAGGGGCAGCTGCTGGCAGGGAGTGTGTGGACTGGGGACAGCTCAAGGCCCCTGTCTTTGGTCTTGGGACAGTGTGGGAAGGTGGGATGGGGGTAGGTGGCAGGAGGAGTGGGTGGCAGTGGGGAGAAGGAGGGGGCAGGTTTCTGGCTGTGGGTAGAAGTTACTCTTGGGGGTCTGATGAGCTGGGGATCAGATCACTATGGGTGGTAAAAGCCTGGCAGGGCAGGTTCGTGCCATGGATGTGTTGTGGTGCTGGTTGTCTGTGCCTCGGGTTCCATGTGTTGTGTTGCTGCACTGCGGGGCTGGGCTGCTGCTCCCCCTGCTGCCTCTCATGCTCATGGTGCTCGAGGCTGATGGTGTGGGCAAGAGGCTTTGATTATGACCCAAGAGCTGGAGCAGAGCTGGAGCACCTCTGCTATGGAGACGGGATGGGAAAGCTGGGGTTGTTCAGCCTGGAGAAGAGAGGGCTCTGGGTTGGACGGCTCTGTCACGCTGCCTCTGCTCTCTCCCCGCAGGTTTGGCACATGGAGGAATCCAGAATCTCAGCTTCAAGAAGAGTGCACATGACTTTGTACGGAGCTTTTCCTGATAGTCCACTACACTCATTGTATAACCTTACACCTTGATTGAATGCCTTTGGTCACTAAGCTTTGCGTCTGACTCTTCCTCCTCGTATCGTGTTTTTATGTCTTTTTAAACTATACGCCGTAAACCTCAACTCTTTTTGGGTCAAGTTCTTAATCTTATTTTGGTTCCAGGTGTAGACTGCGTTTTCCCAGTAGCACGCAGATGGGCTGACCTTAGATAGGAGTAATTTGAACAAAAGGAATCCCGTTAGTTACTTGTTTTGGTGCAGATTTATGGTGTTTCCAAACCAGAAATTGCTGCTGCTGCAAAAGCCATAGCAGAGTGAGCCTGTTGAGGTTAAAGGGATGCAGAGAGCAAGGTAGCACTAGGATTGTTCATAGGAATTCTGCCTGGAATGGGACAGTGAGGGAGCAGCCTGGCCTTTCCCTGTTCTCCATGCAGGGAGGAGCATTGGGGAAGGGGGGCTGCTCTGCCTCTGCTTCACCCTGCCACCGGGTGAGCCTGCCTTCCCCCCAAGCCCACTTTTGGATTTAGAGAGTTGGGTTTCCATCAGAGCTCCACCACAGCCGGAAAATCCCATAGCATGGAGCATTCTTTAAAGAGAAAGGAAAACAGCGGGCAAAGGGAAGGTGCCGTTAGCAGGGGAGGCGATGGGGGCTCAACTCAACAAAAACGCCCCTGTCCTCCCTCCCTCCCCCGGGAAAGGAACCATCAACCCCCTGCTGTCCCTGCTCTGAGCTCACCTGCCCGTTCTCTCCTGCCACCTGATGCTGGTCATCGCCGCTTGCCTGGTCTCACAGGACGCATTGCTGCCCTCCCCCTGCCCCCTCCCTCTGCTCTGCCCAGTCCGTTGGTAACAGAAATTCCTGCCGGTCACTTCCTTCTCCGCCGCACAAAGGTATCCAGTTTATTATTGCAATAAAAACGCTTTATGCTGGCTTTTCTCAGCCCTGTGTCCTGGAGGTTTTTCCCTTGCCCGTCTGTCGCTCGGCACAGCAGGGGCTGGGCTGGGCTTGAGGGGTGCTGCGGGTGCTGTGCCCGGCTCATGGTGTGCTGTGGGTGCTGTTGCTGCCTCACAGGGTGCTGTGGGTGCTGCTCTGCGCTCCCAGGGTGCTGTGCCGGGTTCATGGGGTGCTGTGGGTGCCGTGCCAGGGTTGTGGTGCTGTGCTGGCGTGCCTTGGTGTGAGGCTCAGGTGCTCAGCCCTGGGAGCACAGTGGGATGCCTGGGGCTCCTGGGCTCTGTGGGGAGCTGATGGCGGCCTGCTGGAATTTGCATAATTAATTGCCTCACCATAACCTATTGAAGCGTTTCCCTCACAGCCTTGTGCCCTTGCAGGTGTGATTCAGCCCAGACTGGGAGCATGAAGGGCAGACTGATGTGTGTTCCCAGGATCCCTGGGGAAACCTGTCCACACATCTCCCTGGATTTATCTTGGCTGATTTTGGAAGCTGGACATGGCACGTGGGACACGGCACATCCCCTGCTTTGAGCTTGGCTGCTCCAGCTGTGGATGTTGTGTGTGTAGGAGCTGCTCGGGCACCAGCACAGGCCAGCGCCCGGCTCCTTGGCTGGCGGCCTTTGATCCGTGTGCCACGACTGATAACACAGCCACGATTGATAACACAGCCAGTCCCAGCTCCAGAGCAAAGTTTGTGTGTGACAACAGGGCCTGGAGGGAACTGTGGCCCTGGGCCAGGAGCAGCTCAACCACTGGGATGAATCCAGGAATATGGGGCTGTGCAGGATTTGGGGTCAGGCTGTGCAGGAATTAGCACTGCCCTTAATTGCTGCTCGGTGAAGCAGAATGGGAGCTGCTGGGGCACCAGCAGCCCACTCTGCCCTTGGCTGTGCCTGTTTCTGGGCGGAAGCTCGAGGCCAGCTTGGGTTTCTCTTCCTGCAAAGCTTTTTGCTTTAATTATTAACCAGTGCCAGGCAGTGCCATGGCCTCTGGCTGGGGAAAAGCCAAGGCTGGGGAGAGGCCTGTGGGACCCTGCTGACCTTGGGCCTGCAGCCCCTGCGTGGCTCCCACAGCGCCAATAAGTGCAGGTGGGATGTAGGTCCTTCCAGGTCTGGTTTTAGGGGGGATGAGGGTTTTGGGGAAGGGACAGACTCCTGGGAACCATCTGTATAGGACTCTCCCTACCGCTGGCACTCGGGCTGTTCTCGTCCCGGGCTGACCACAGCAGCCAGGGACCATCCAGCTAAAAATAACACCAGTAAATAAAATGCTTCCTCCTGGTCTGGCACGAGGGAGCGGAGGCACAGGGAGCTGGGACATGCCTGGCCACAGCTCCACAGCAGGACTGACCCCAAGCCCGAGAGCTCTGGGCTGGTGCCACGGGCTGTGGGCCCAGCTGAGCACCCTCAGCACCCACTGCCCAGCCCCTGAGCACACAGTGTCCTGTGGCATCCCCAGTGCGGGCAGCGGGGTGTCACAGGTGAGTGCTGGATCCCAGAGTGACACAGCGATGTCCCCGTGGCAGTGGGGTGCCACATCCACCCCGTGCTGAGCTCCACGCTGGGTCAGTTTTTCCACCTGTGGTGTGGGGCTCCCACGGGGCCGTCACGCCTGGCACGTGTCCCAGGTGACAGCTGGAATGGTGCAGGTCACGGCTGTGTCAGCCCCACGTGCCCAGGCAGTGAGGTGTCAGCAGGAGCCACCGCCCACGCAAGGGCTCCCAGTGGGGCATCCCCTTCATCCCCCGGCGGGGCCGTGGAGCCCAGGATGGGTGTGGTGGGGGGCTCCCACTTGGGGGGGACCAAGCCATGTGCTGGGCTTGACAGCAGGGGTGATGTAGAGGGGAGAGTTGGGCTACAGGCCCATCCCTGCTCCTCCAGGATGCCCAAACCCACGGAAAGCCACCCCTGTCCTCATCCCAGTCCCTGTCCCCAAGCCCTGCACAGTGTTGCCTTCAGCTTCCACTTCCTCTTCCTCACCTATGCCCTATCTGGCGGGGGAGTGCAATCAGCTGAGGCTGCCTGGCCCCTCCCTGGGCTGGGCATGGCTATAAAATCCAGTGGCCAGGAAAAGGGTGTCACAAGGATCTGGGAGCTGTTGGCAGGTGAGTGCAGGGGTGCCAGGGTTGGGCTTGGACAGTCTTGTCCGTTGGATGCTGCTGCCATCCCTGAGCTGTGGGTGGGATCCTGCCTGGTTACTGCAGGGCTCAGCTGGGTCTGGATTTGGCTCCTAGCCCCCAGTTTTGGATGATACTTTCTGGGGAATGCAGCACTATGGGGCAGAGGTGGGAGGGCACAACCTTGCCCTGGGCTCAGTATGAGGTGCACTTGGGACAGAGGGGGCTGATGAGGGGCAGAGGGGCTGTTCCCATGGGATATCCCTCTCTCTTGTCTGGATGATGCCAGAGTGGCCCCACAGGGCAGGTGGACATGGGGAGCAGAGGGGCTGATGGGAGGCACAGGGGCTGTTCCCATGGGATATCCCTCTCTCTTGTCTGGGTGATGCTGGGATGGCCTCACTGGGCAGGTGGACACGGGGAGTGGGACCTGCCACCAGCCAAGCAAAGCCCAGGTGCCTGTGCCTGGCAGCCACCCATGTCCCAGCCACCGGGAAGTGGTGGAGGTGGTGGCCCTGGTGACACACCCTTGAGTCATGCCAGAGGCTCTGGGTGACAGCCAGTCTGAGTCCCTGCACCGCTCCCTCCCTGTCCCCAGGCAGCAGCAGCGATGGCAACGCTCTACCCCTCCCTGGAGGACATGAAGGGCCATCAGGTCCTGCAGGTCAGTGCCAGCTCAGCAGCGTTCGGGGGGGTGAGCAGACCCCAGTGGAGGGTGCACAGGGTGGGGGGCACAGCACTGAGCAGACCCCATCTCTTGGCAGGCACAGGCAGCTGCCGGGGTGAGGACCCCCCCCACCACTGTGGTCACGGAGAAGCCAAAGCTCACCTCGGGCACCGGTAACGTGGGGCATGACCAGCTTGGCTGTCCAGGGGCTGTGGGGGGAGGGTGATGCACACCGTGTGAGGGACTCAGCTGAGACCCCCCAAAACTCAGTACGTGGGCGGAGGATGGAATTTGGGAGTTTCTTTCTGCTGGCCCATGGTCTCAAGGGGCTCATGGGGTGGAGGTGGCGATGGCTGTGGGTTGGGGACCCCGGGAGCTGAGGCCACCCTCGGTGCGTCCCGCAGAGCCACCTGTGCTGTACCCCAACCTGGCCGAGCTGGAGAACTACATGGGACTCACGCTCTCCAGCGAGGAGATCCAGAAGAACCTGCACCCGGAGGACAACACCGTAGGTGTCTGGGCTGGCGGCTCTCCCTGCCCCACATGGGGTCCCCGTGCCATGGTGGGAGTCCTTTTGGGTCCGCATCCTGCCCGGGGAAGGCACGCAGCATCCCCTGAGGGCTGAGGTGCACAGGGCCCTGTGTTCCCTCCATTCCCACTGACTCCTGGCTCCACCACAGGCCCTGACCCCCGTGGGCCCCACCCCGGGCCAGCTGGTCGCCCCCCTGAGCGGGAACAGCGCGGGGCTGCGGCGGGCAGAGATCAAGCCGGGCGTGCGGGAGATCCACCTGTGCAAGGACGAGCGGGGCAAGACGGGGCTGCACCTGAAGAACGTCGACCAGGTGAGGGGCTGGGCTGGCACGGGGCTGGGCAAGGCACAGGACAGTGTGGCACGACGTGACGTGGTGCGCTCGTGGCATAAGCGTGACAGTGCCTCACGGCACGGTGTCTCATGGCACAGCAACGCCTGGCATCAAATGCCACAGCCTGCCACGGCACAGCATACCATGGCACTGTGCCACCGCTCCTCTGTGCCCCCAGGGCATCTTCGTGCAGCTGGTGAAGGCCAACTCGCCGGCGGCGCTGGTGGGGCTGCGCTTCGGGGACCAGGTGCTGCAGATCGACGGCAAGAACTGCGCGGGCTGGAGCAGCGACAAGGCACAGCGGGCACTGAAGAAGGCGAACCCCGAAAAAATCGTCATGGTGGTGCGGGACAGGTGAGCAGGTGGCAGTGCTGGTGGCAGTGCCGATGGTGGCAGTGCTGGCACTGACCGTGCTCTCCCACAGGCCTTTCCAGCGCACTGTCACCCTGCACAAGGACAGCACCGGCCACGTCGGCATCGTGGTGAAGAAGGGGAAGATCGTGTCGCTGGCCAAGGACAGCTCAGCCGCCCGCAACGGGCTCCTCATCAACCACTGCATCTGTGAGGTGAACGGCCAGAACGTCATCGGCATGAAGGTAGGGCTGTGCCCTGCTGGTGGCACAGGATGTGCCCAGGGAGTTCAGGATGTGGCCAGAGAAGCTGTGGGGGTTCTGAGCAAAGCTGGGCACCCTAAAACCCCCCCTGCTCTCTCTTGCAGGATAAGCAGCTCACGGAGGTGCTGGCAGGGGCTGGGAACGTGGTGACGCTGACCATCATCCCCACCGTGATCTACGAGCACATGGTCAAACGGTGAGAATGTGGGGCCACAGGGATCCCCACACCCCACAAGGCCCCCTGTGTTCCCCTCACTGATCTCCCCTCTCCCTCTGCCCAGGCTCTCATCAGGGCTGGTGAAGTCGTCCATGGACCACTCCATCCCTGACCTGTGATGCCATCAATGCCTTCCCGGGGACCTGACGCTGGAAGCCTGGAGGAGCTGCTGAGGGGAAACCACAACACTTCAAAAGAAACTTTTCTAATGTGAAACTCCTCATTGCTCCAGAGGCTGGTGGCTGCTGGGTGGTTCTTCCTCTCCTCAGAAGGGGTGGGGCAGGTGTCCTGTCCCAGGGTCCCCATGTCCCCGCTCAGGCCAGTTCCCCTCAGGGTGGACGCCAAGGGCTGGCTCCAGCCAAAGCAGACACAGACCCAGCGACATTTATTACATCCACCACAGAGAGCGAGTACAGGACAGGGGAAACAAGAAGAGGGGGGTTACAGCTTTTTCAGTTCTGTATTTAAAAAATATATTATATGGATTTGTCCTTCAAATATAATCGTTACATTTATTTCTTGGCAAAGCTTTGGATAGTCTAACAGACGTGTACACAGATCCACAAATACATTGCACGAGAGGCGAACATCCCAGCTCCGCTTCCACCTGCCCCAGCTGCCCGGACACTGCTGCTCCCCAGATCTTTTCCCCAGCACCTGGTGCTGTGCTGGTGGAAGAGCTGCTGCCCCCACTGCCCCCCAGCACAGGCAGAGCCAGAGGATGGGGGATGCAGGGAAGCGTGGGGCACGCGGGATGGGGCGCATGTGGAGCATCACCGCCTCCCAGGGCACCCGGCCAGTGGCACCCGTGGGTGGGGGAGTGGGGTTGGGGTGGGATGGGGTGGGGAGAAAAACACTGTTAGTTCAAGTCACGAAGAAACCACAGACATTCGTGGGGTGGGAGCGCGGCGCACCCGGGGGAGCCCTGAGTGCCGCGCCCCAACAGCCCCGCTGAGCAATCCTTGCTGTCTTTGCATCTCAGCAACAACAAAAAAAAGGCATTTTTCTGGAGGCCACCAGCAAAGCGGGAATTTGGGTGGGCCGGGGGGGCAAAGGGCTTGGCTCTGCCTGCACGGCGCTGCCCGCACCCCGGCAAAGGCATCCGAGCTCCAGCACATGGTGGGATAACCGGCATCACCGCTGCCAAAACCACGAGAGGCCCCGGACCTGCTGTCTGGTGGCCAGAGTTCCAACAACCAGGCTTCAGTCTGTACCCAAAAAAAAGTGAATATAGTGCAAAGCAAAGGGAGGGAGAGCCCATGGCTTCCTTGGGGCGCTCCGTGCGTGAGCCACAGCACAGTTCCATCCCCATGTGGGGAGCATCTCCTAGGGAATGAGCAGCTGGACCAAACCGCTCCGGAGCTGGTTCCTGTTTCTGGGCAGGATCCCCCCATCCCCCTGCCCACAGACAGACTCTGCACCTGGAGCAAGGAACCACTGCACCCCCAGTGATCCCTGCTGCCATCAGCTGCTTACCATCAACTGCCCGTGTCAGGGCTGGCCCTTGGGACAGCCTGGGGACAACCGAGAAGCAAGTGCAATGGAGGGAGAGCCCACCCGGTGGGTGCAGTCCCCCACAGCCAGAGGCATGGGCAGGGGTGTCCATCAGCAAAGGGTGACTTTTAGTGCCCCTCTTCCAACAACAGTCCTTTCCATCCTCCAGGACAGAGCAGCTGGAGGGGGCAGCACACCCCGATGCACCCACAGACCCCTCCACCCCTTCCCACCCGCCAGTGCCACACCAGGGTTTTACAATCAGCAGTCGGGTCCATGGGGGCGGGTGGGGGCCTCGGGGTGGGGTCAGGGCTGGGCACTGCCCCCGGGGCCAGGGCTGGCGACGGGGCGACAGCCCATCCTGCGGATGGAGTGGAGGGCGACGGTGCAGCAGCCCCGCAGCAGGGAGCTGATGTTGTAGATGGGCTGGCCCTGCCGCCGCTGCGAGCGGCACAGCCAGGCCACCGTGGGCACCGCCGGCACCACCACTGCCAGCAGATCCACGATGAAGTGGCGGCTCCAGTAGCTCTTGGAAGGGTTGTTCTCGCAGCCGGTCGCCTCTGTCAGCTCCTCATCCGCCACGCAGGCGATGGCCACCGAGGGGCTGGCGCTGGGGGGCTGCCGCACCGCGGGGTTGCAGGGGACACCGCCCTCAGCACCGCCACTACCCGCCGTCGTGGCATCGGGCTCAGCCACCAGCATGTCCGTGGCCCCAGAGGGGTTGGCGAGCTCAGGGACGGGCATCGTGTCTTCCATTTCGGAGACCCAGGCGGAGGTGGGGCTGCCCAAGCTGCAAGCCTGGGACTTCATCACCTTCTCCAGGATGGTGTCCAGGTCGGGCTGGCAGGGCACAAAGTCCGTCTGGATGGCCCGCTCCTGCATGCAGCTGGCCTGCACCCCTGCCTCCACGCTGCCCCGCAGTCCCAGCACCTTCTCGTAGGTGTTGCTGGGGGGCAGGCGGCTGCCAGGCTCACCCCCCACCTCCAGCGGGTCCGTGTGGCCCGGAGCCTCCTCCATCCCCACGAAGCCACTGTCGGCCCCCTCGTCCAGCGAGATGGTCTGAGAGCCCCCCACGTTGCGGTCCCCGGCCCCCTGGTCGCTCAGCTTGGTGTAGGTGGAGCTGCGGGTGAGGGATCGGGCTGGGGACCCCCCGGCCGACTCGCCGGCCCCCTCCTCCTTCAGCGCCCCGTTCTGCGCCACCTCCATGCTGTGCAGCAGCGTCTCCAGCTTCTTGTTCTGGATGTTGATGTCCACAAAATACTTCTGGAGGCCCTTGTCCTTCTCCAGCAGGTTGTTCTTCACCGTGTCGATGACCTGCTTCAGCTGCTTTATCTCCTTGCGGGCCTCCTTCAGCGCCAGCTGGGCCTCCACGCGGTGGCACTCCTCCTCGATCCAGTCCTCCTGCATCCGTGACAGCTGCGTCTTCAGGTCCTCGATCTCAGCGTCCCTGCGGAGATGGGAGGGCACCGCCACGGCGCTGAGGGGGCTGTGGGGACAGCCCCGTCCTCGTGTGCCCAGGACTGAGTTGGATCACCCATAACCCGGTGACTGGATCACTCGTGACTGCATCCAGTGGCTTGAGGACCCTCAGGAGCAATGCCAAGGCCCCCAGGGGGGTGACACTCAGGGACCCTGAGGAGGGATGCTCAGGGACCCTCAGGAGCAATGCTGATGGACCCCTGAGAGTGATGCTCAGAGACCCTTGGGAGTGATGCTGAGGGACTCCTAAGAATGATGCTCAGGGACCCTCAGGATTGATGCTCAGGGATCCCCTGGGAGTGATGCTCAAGGATCCCTGGAAGTGACGCTCAGCCTTCTCCCAGAGGGGCTGCAGCGCCCAGGGCTCCCGAGGGCTGCATGGGGGTGGGCAGGTGCCCTGGGCAGGCGCGTGGCAGCTGGCATTCCAATGAGGACATGCCTAAGCCCGAGAGGAGCAGATGGGGATTAGCCACCCTCTGACGCTGAAATTCAGCAAAAGCACGGCAGGGACTTAACCGGGGCGAGGGGAGAGCGCAGCCACCACAGGTGGGACGGGGGGCTCCACGGCCCCCTAATCTGCGGCTCCTGGGCTGGATGGGCAGCAGTGCCAGACCCCTGCAATGCCACAGTGCAGCCGTGACCTCGGCACCCGGGCACGAGCCCGAGGACAAGATGCCGTGCTGGGAACCGAGACCCCCAGAAGGACCAGTCCCAGACAGGAGCTGCCACGGCGGGTGGCGATGGCCGGTGCCAGGACCCTTCCCGGCTGCTCCCGTGCCAGGGAGTCAGTGCCTGCTGCTCCCGTGCTCACCTGTCCTGCAGCCGCTCCTGCGTGTCCTTCAGGCGAGCCTTCAGGTGCCGGATGCAGACCTCCTTCTGCTGCAGGGGGGTCAGGTACTGCTCCGGCGTCGGTGGCTTTATCCCATGGTTGTCACTGCAGAGGTTGTACTTGGACGAGCGCCTGCAGGGACACGGGTGTCACCCACCGCCAGTGCCAGGCTCGGCACAGGCTTGGCACAGGGGTACCAACCTGCTCCCAGGGTGCAGCCCCACAGCACATCCCGAAGGAGCCCTGGGAGCAGAAGGGGCAGGATGGGTGCCTGAGGGTGCTGTGCTGCTGGCAGGAGGGGTGGGATGTGTGTCTCAGGTGCTGTGTTGCTCGCAGGAGGGGCAGGATGGGTGCCTGAGGGTGCTGTGCTGCTGGCAGGAGGGGCAAGGTGGGTGTCTCAGGTGCTGTGCCACTGGCAGGAGGGTAGGTGCAGCCTCTGGACCCACTGGTGCTACTGGTGGGCACTGAGCCTTCTGAGCTGGGCATTTCGCTAGGGCACGAGCAGAGCTGGGAGCAGGTGGGCACCAAGGCCTCTGTGTGAGCTTTCCAGGAATGACTGACATGGATGGAGACCCCAGGGTGGGATCAGCCCCATCAGGGATGGAGGCAGAAGATGGGGAATAGAAGGGTTTGGGATGGAGCAGGTCTGGAGATGGTGGCTGTCCTGCCCCTGGAGAACAAGCCAGGGCATCCAGCATTTGCTTCAGGCTGGGCCAGCGGCACATCCGGACCCTCCTTGTGCCACCACTGGCACTGGGGTGGACGAAGTGACATCTCTGGCCCAAAGCCTAGGGCAGTGCAGAGAGCAGGGGCTGCTCAGGGAGGCTGGTTTTGCACATTTAGGGCTACATGGTGGGCTGGGAGGCACGTGGAGAGCTGGGAGCAGCATGAGCAGCTCCTGCATGGCAGGGGGGGAACCGAATTCCCTGTGCACAGCAACAGGGTGGTGGGAATTCCCTGTGCATGGCAGGGGGCCATCCCAAAGCCCCTGTGGATGGTGGCCAGCAGCCCAGCAGCCTTCGGCCAGGGACAGAAGCATCACGTTAGAAGCATCCAGGCAGGACTGTGGCCTTGGAATGCCCCATGGCAGCAGGATGGCCATTGGGCCCTGATCACCATGTCACCCCCGGGCCCTTCAGACCCTCCCAGACTGACTCCACCTCTGGGAGCTGGAAGGTGGCTGTGGACAGGCAGGAGTTGGGCCTCACTCCCTGGAGCAGTGCACCACGGGCTGCTGTGCCTGAGGGGCTGGGGCTGGTGCTCGTCCCACAGATCAGTGCCAGCTGCCTGTGCCCCAAACACACCAGCAGCTCCCTGCTAAGAACCCAGGGTGCCACCAGCTCTTGCCAAACTTTTGCCAGGCAACACAAGGGGATGGAAGCGAAGTTCTTGTTCTCGTGCCTTTGGTCTGGAAGGATCCAGGTGCTCCTTGGAGTGTGGGAACGGCAGGAGGGAGCGTGCAGCGTGCAAGCCACAGCCACAGCAGGACAGAGGGGAGGGGATGACGGGGGTCCCTGAGTGGCAGGCAGGGGGACAGGGAGGGACACAACACAACAGCAGCAGTGGAGAGGTTTGGAGGAGGATAGTGAGGGTCTTTGGAGACACGCCAGCAGCTCTGCCAGCTCCAGCTCCCCCAGCCACCACGCGCACAGCCTCACTCCACCGGGCCCTGCGCTCCTGTCCCCGCCGGGCACCGGCACCGGCAGCGTGGGGGGGGCTGCTCCCCCTGCCTGGGGGCACCTGGCAGCCACCCTGGGGCCACGGGTGATGGGTTACCTTGGGGTGGGGCTGCTGTCGCTGCCCTTGCAGGAGCCAGAATTGCTGCTGCTGCTCAGCGAGGAGGTGCCGTAGGTGTCCCTCCCGGGGGGCGAGGGGCGCCTGGAGGCAGGGAGAAGAGGCTGTGTCTCAGGCCGAGTGGCTGAGGGCGCTGAAGACTTAAAGAAGGAGGCAAAGCCACTCCGTCCATAAACCCCGCGACTGCCAACCACCACACCGAGAACACACAAGACAAAAGGACAAAACAAACAGCAGGGATCAAAATGGCACGGACATGGTGACGGGTACAAAGGCAAGGCTGGGGGGGGAGACGCCCACCCGCTCCCCCCTCCCTGGTGTGGCAGCCCCTGGATGCTGGTACAGCATCCATGCACCCTGAGGACCTTGGGAGCCCCTGGGACCCCCCGGGAGCCCCTGGAGAGTCCCCTGGGAGCGTGGCCCCGACAGAGCTCGAGCCATGTCTGCCAGAGCATCCCCTCCATGTGGGCAGCTCTGCCTCTTCTCCCTGCCCATTCTGGGCCTCTACCTCCATAACAGCAGTCCAGGCCATGGAGACATCGGAAAGGAACAAACGCTTTTTGTCCTCCCTTTTTTTTTTTGCCTCTCTCACTCCGCTCGAGGAGAGACTTTCCAAGGGCTAACACACCTCCCAGTTTCACTGCCCCAACCCCAGCGCTCTCCACCACTCACTGCCTGCCTTCGCCCAGATGGACGGTGGGGTCGATCCTGGCTGTGGCACAGACGGACAGAGGGACGGGCAGTGCAGCGCTCAGGGGGCCACATGCACGGACAGGGAAGTGCTGTGCAGTGGGCAGCGCCATGCAACCCCCCGAAAGCTGGGCTGGGGGTTCGTGCTGCGAAGTGGCAGCTGGTGGTGGAGGTGTGGGGATCATCCCCTCCCGGCTGCAGGCGCTGGTGCCCGGTCCTGGGGCCAGAGGTTGAAGCATATTCACCTTCGAGATCCCGTGGACGAGCGTCTGCTCCCCGGCATGGACATGGCCGCGGTGCCACGGGTCCTGGGCACGGGGAACTGCGGGTGAAGGCAACAGAGAGAGAGGAGGTGAAGGCAGGAACATGGCCCCGGGGAGGCAGAGACCCTGCAAAAGGGTAGGTGGGCCCTGGCACCGGGGCATCAGTGTAGTCCCCAGGGCCACCAGTACCAGGGCAGATGGGGACAGCATCCCCTGCACATCTGGGCTGTGCTTCCTGCCGGCCTCCCATAACCTGGGAATGCTGGGATGCAGCATGCCTAGGGCACATCAGGATGCTGGGGGCACAGGGTGAGGGTGTTCTTAATTTAGAACAGAAGCAGAGCAGGTGCCTGCCTGCTCATGGTCTGGAGCTCCTTTCCCACCAGGCTCCAGACACGGGACAAGATTCCCCCTTCCTCCAGGGCCCCATCCATGCCAGGAGGAGGGCATGCCACAGGGACAGAGGGTGCCTGCAGTGGTGGCATTACTCAGGGCAGAGATGGGACAAGGGCTCTGACACCCATCCCTGGACCTCCCTGGGCAGGCAGCTCTCCCTGCAGCGGGATGGGCGCCTGCTCTTCCACAATTAAGTCCAAATCACGCATTCAGCAGTGACATGAGGTGAGGAAGAACAGATCCCTGCATGATGAGGCAGCAGCAGCTAATCCCCTGGGAAACACAGAGCCTGCTTTCCTGTAAATAAATAGGCCAGATCCAGAGGCTTGCAGCACCTCGGGCACACGCAGGATGTCAGGGAGCAAGGGAAGCATCCGCTCAGCACCCGCATCCTGCCAAACATCCCAAGGCACTGCTGGGATCCCCGCTGGGCTCACGCTCTGCCAGAGAAGGACAGGCTGGGGGCACCCTGTGGCCCCCCCTCCCCGTCCCCAAGCCCATTCACAATGCCAGCATTTATCCCAGATTTTGGCAGAGCAACGCGAGCGATGGGACCAGCCAGCACATAATCGATGGGTGACAGGAAACACTCAGTGCTGCTGGCCCTGCTCCCGGGGACTGCGAGGAGTGGGACAAGAGGGGAGGCGGGAGAGGAGAGGGGGCACAGCCAGCTCACCCCAGTGCAGCTTTCTGCACTTGCCACCCCAGGGTGTTTTTTTCCAGGCTGCCTCAAGGCCCACCCTGACCAGCCCAGGCCTCTCTTTTGCCCAGGATTTGCTGCTCCCTGATCTCCAAACCAGGGCACTGAAGAGCCCAGAATGCAGCCACAGGGCACCCCCAGCCCCAGCCAGGGGGGTGCCAGCTCCCCTGGGACACTGCAAGAACGAGTTGGGGGTCCTGCTGCTCCGACCTGGGATGGATTTGCCAGGAGATGACCTGGGCAGGGGGAGGCAGCGCCCTGTCCTGCTGGATCACTGCTCCCGAGTGGCTGCGAGCTCTGCTGCTGCAGCAGCGTGAATCAGCATCCACAGGGAGCCGAGCGTGGCCAGCAGGAGCATCCTCCAGGATTCTCCGGCATCCTCCGGCAGCGCCATGCCGGGCTGCGGCACAGCCTGCACTCCAACAGCTCTCCAGCAGGGATTTAGGGAGATCTGTGGCCACCGGGGTTTGACTCCTTGCCCTCTCGCAGCCCCAAGCCCTGTGTCCCGGGTCCTGCAGCCCAGTGATATCTGTTATCAGCCCAGTGGTACCCCAGCCACATCCAGATCTTTCCCCACTCATGACAGAGTCACCCTCATGCCAAGCCACTCTGCACAGGGGTCCCTGTAAGCGCCAGCCCCACAGATGGCACGCTGTGTGTCCAGCCCTTGGGGCTCCTGAGAGCTCCCCATGCTGCACCCCAGGCACCCCCCGCCAGCATCCTCAGGTAGGAACAGTTCTGTGGGGAAGCCTGGATTTGACCTCATGTCTGAGGAGCTCATTTCGTTCTCTTCCTCCTCCCACTGCTGCAGACTTGCCTGGTGCCCACGCCGAGGCTCAGCGCCTCCCACAGCGCCCAGGGTGTCTGGAATTCAATCACCGGTAATAAACCGGCACTGCCTTTATTCCCAAAGAATCAATGGGCCACTTCAGTCTCTCCCCGGAAGCCTCACTGTGCCCAAGGGCTGCCCAGGACAGGCAGGGTGGGCAGACTCAGCACCAGAGCAGAACACAGCCCTTCCCATGTGGTACATGGCTCCTGAAGGCTGAGGAAATTACTGATCTGCACTCAGAATTACCCCCGTCACATGGACCAGGATGAGCAGCTGCAGCACCAACGGAGCCTCACTAGGAAGCCAAGGAGAAATCCACGATTAACTCCGGTCTAGTGGGTGGCATCCCTGTCTGTGGAGGGGGTTTAGAATCACAGAATGGTTTGGGTTGGAAGGGACCTTAAAGCTCATCTCATTTCAACTCCTCTGCCATGGGCAGGGACACCTTCCACTAGCCCAGGTTGCTCCAAGGCCCATCCAACCTGGCTTTGAACACTTCCAGGGATGAGGCAGCCACAGCTTCTCTGCACAACCTGTGCCAGGGCCTCACCACCCTCACAGGGAAGAATTTCTTCACCATATCCCATCTAACCCTGCTCTCTGTCAGTGTGAAGCCATTCCCCCTTGTCCTGTCACTCCAGGCCCTTGTCCAAAGTCCTTCTCCAGCTTTCTTGGAGCCCCTTTAGGCACTGGAAGGTGCTCTAAGGTCTCCCTGGAGCCTTTTCTTCTCCAGACTGAACAACCCCAGCTCTCCCAGCCTGTCTCCAGAGCAGAGGTGGTCATGACAATTCCTGGAGCAAGATCAGGGGGCACTGGTTTGTCCCCATACTGGGGGCACCAGAACCAACACATTCCTGGAGCCTCCAACAGCAAAACTCCCTGTGAGTCCCCTGGCACACGTGGAACAGGAGGGGAGCACTTTTAAAAACAACAGCACAAACCAGGGCTTGTTCCATGCAGTGGAATTAGCCTGGGGAATCCCTGATAAATAAAGGAAACAACTGGAGCTGCAGCACGAAAAGCAGATCCCCCAAGGAGGGCTGGGATGCAGAACTGGCACAAGAACCCCACACTGCCACTGTCCTGGCGTGGGTGACCATAGGGCACATCCCCAGGTGGGTGCCACCAGCCACAGAGGGGACTTGGGGCTCTGCCAACCCACTGATCACACCATGACTCTGATGCCAAGGGCAAAGGATGGCAGAGCAGTGACAGAGCAGTGGCAGAGCGCCTCAAGGCTCAGCCTCGTGCCCCAGAGGAAGATTTTCCTGGGAAGAGCAGCTCAGCTCCTTTTTGGGATCACTGCTCCGCAGAGATGCCTCTTTGCCACCAATCCTGCCACTTCCCCACTCCATGATGGATCCATCAGCTGTTCCAGTGAGAGACAGACTGGGCTGGGCAGGTATTGCCCCTCCTAGGTGCTTCCCAGTGGGAAAAAGGGCCATGGAACCCTTGCAGAGACCCCCACCATCGGCTCGGTGAAGTGTCCGACGGTTCCTCAGCTCGTTCCTCTGAAGGTTTCAGGGCCGCAGGCCCACGAGCTTCCAAAGCTCAACTCCGGTGGGATTCAGAGGGATCCGGCTGCTGTGCTGGGCTGAGACACCCCAACAGCTCGTCCCATCCCCACGGGGAACACGGGAGAAGGTGTGGGAGCCCGGGGCTCACTGCCAGCGCCAGCCCTCAGCACGAAGCTGCCGCGCCAGCAGCCGCCACATTTTCCCGGATTTCTCGCTCACTGCTTCCTTTGTCGAGGCTCCCATCACCCTGCCCGCTGCCGGATCCCCGTGTTTCCCTTGGCACATCCTGTGTGAGGAGCGTTTTTGCAACGGTGGCACCGAGCCCAAGCGTCTGAGAGCAGCTTCACCCACTGCAGAGACCTGGGAGAGGACCCGTGGTGTCCCCTGGGAGATCTCCGGCCTCCCAGGATGAACAAGGTTAAAAGCAGAGGGAACACGGGGAGGGAAACCACGGCTTTGGTTTTCCACGGGGCAAAAAGGGCTCCACAGGAGCTTCCCTGCCTTCCTGACACTGCCTCTGTTTTTTTTCCACACTAAAAAATAAGCCCAGAATTGGAGGTGGCCAACTACCAGCAGCTGATGTGGGGCAGAGTCCTGTGTGCCCGGCCAGCAGCAATGCCAGGGGTGGCTTGCAATGGAAAAGGGACAGGAATACAGCTGGAGTGCAGTGGGAAGGAGAAGGATCCAGCAGCCAGGGCCAGCAGAAGCCCTGATGGAGGAGAGGGTCAGCACTGGGGGCACCAGCTGACCAGCTGGGGGCAAATACTGGTGATCATGTGTGTGCTCCTACTCCTGCCATGGGGGATTTTTGGGATTACAGGGGTTGCATTGCTCCTGCTCAGGAGATTCCAAGGATGTGGTGGTATCTCCATAGGCTGGGAGCCTCTGCTCCAGCGGAGATGGCTCATCCCAAAGCAGGCAGAGCTTCACCTGGGTCCCGGGCAGAGGGAGATCATGGAATCACAGAACCATTTAGGTTGGAAAAGATCTTTAATATCATCAAATCCAACCGCTAACCCAGCACTGCCAAGGCCACCGCTAAATCCAGCTCAGGGCAGAGCTGAGTGCTCAGGGCACAAGCAGGGACAAACCCCACGGGGTGTTTATGCAACACCACCAGAAAAATCAATGGTGCTAAAAGTGTTTGTATCCCATTCCAAAGTGCAGGAGCATCTCCTTTTATTCTCCTGTTTGTTATAAAACGCTGAGTTGCCACCCGGAGATTACAGGAAAACAAAGACCACCCGGAAAGCTCGGGTTATGCAGTTCATCACTTTTCCAGCTGACCTGGCTGCAGCTCCAAACGGGGAGGTGACGGTGACAAACCCCAGTCCCCACCAGCTAAAAACAAGGTGCCTGATCAGAGGGCACAGTCTGGGCTCTCGCTGGGCCCTCTGGAGTCGAGGGGAAATGGGAAAAGAGCTCCATGACAAATGCTGTAGCAGCATGAGAGCAGGAGCAGGACACCCAGGATGCAGACCCCGTGTCTCCCCCCGGGCTGGGAAGGTCCGCAGGATGGGACGGAGGTGAC